AATTGAAGAGATGACTCGAATCTGACGGTCAGACTTTTAGTCTGACTGGTCGAGGCACGAGGGGCAGGCAGGCAGTTGATTCTTATTTTCGTTCAGTTGATAAGTTGGGTTCGGATGTAGTTCATTTCGGACCTAGGCGTCGGATGATCATGTCGGGTGTACGGAAGATCGTGTCGGGGGTAGCGCATAGGGATAGCGTTTAGCGCAGAGGCATAGCCGATGTCCGGCCGGGACGGTGGGTCGGTGGGTGGGGTCGGTGATACACGTAGGAGGGGTATGTATAGCGGGCTAATAGCAGTTGTAGCAGTGTGCTGTTGTTAGCGCCGTGTACAGGAAAGATCCGTACCTGGCTATGATTGATTGGGTCCGCGGGGTCCCGGGGATCGACGCGGCACGTTGTAGGGTGATGGCATCGGTGATGGGGGTCTAAGGGCCGTTGGCTGGCGTTTAGCGGAGGTTTGTCACTGTATTGAGGAATGAGGGATATGTCGAGGATATGAGCAATATTGGCGGGCGGGGTCGGTCGGATGGAGGACGCAAGTGAGACAACAAGCCAGGGACGAACAAACAAGAGAGTTGGACAAGACACGGTGCTGGCTTGTGGGCCTGAGACAAGAAAAGCAAGGCGCCGGGGTCCGTGGTGGGCGGGTGATGGATTAGGGTCGACGTGGGAGGCGCAAAGAGCCGAGGATGGGCCGGCGATACGTGTCGGTCGGATGCGGGGTAAGTGGTAGACTTTTGAAATTAAGGAACGGGGTGCGGGGTGGATAAGGGCTGCTGGTTGGGGGTAGGACTGGAGCAAGCGACTGGGGCTAGATGAAGGCGTGCAGCTGCGTGTGTGGGGGTGCGGGTATCAGGTGCACGGTCATGTGGCACTGCAAGCGCCGGAAGTGTGTGGAGGCGGGATCGGGCCGGTGGCACGTGGGAGGGGAATATTGTCCGTCCGGCCCTGTTGTGCTAATTGCCACCAGCCACAACAACAACGACCACCACCCAGCCCATGCAAGGCATCCAGACCCCCGTCCTCGCCGTCGTCCACGACGGCCTCGACGCACAGGACGCCCTCCAGCTGTGGTCAGGTATGTTACCCACCAGTATTGCCCCTCAGTTAAAATAGTAATAACAACCACGAAAAAAAGTCTTTTCCAAATGCAAGGACTCGCTGCAGGACGGCCGTCGTCTCGAAAACATCTCCTGGCGCCTCTCATTCCGCGACCTCGGTCGTCGCTCAGCACTGCCCCTCGAGCCCTCCTGGCCCCCGACCCCCGAGTCCGTCTCCAGCAGCGACTCGGACACAAAGTCCACCACCACCACAGCAAACAGCGCTGCCTCGCCGTTCTTCCAGCTTGCCCCCCGCATCTGTGCGTCTAGTTTCTGCGATTTTTCGGTAATAAGCACTTATCGATTGACATCCAGCAGCGATCCGCTCGCCGGCGACGGCCGCACGCCCGGCGGGACGCATCATCTGTGAGATGATACCCCCAGGCCTCACCCGCCTCCAGAAGGACGGAAAGAAGGAATGCAAGAAGGACGCGGCCTATCCGACCCCCGCGTCCTCCAGCTCCTCGTCTTCCAGCGGCTCGTCCTCCGCCTCGGCCTCGGCCGTCTCCATCGCCGTCGAGCCGCCCCAGCAGCAGCCAGAAGAGGACCCTACGGTAATCGGCGCAGCCCCGGTGCCACGCGTAATTATCCTCACCCCGACCCCGAACCTCACCCCGCACCCGACACCCCCGACAACGCCCCTCCTTGGCGCCTCGGCTTCTCCAGCTCGTGTATCGCCCACCTCGCTCACCCCGGCTGCCGCAGCCGCCTCCCCGCCTCAGCAGCAGCAGCAGGCCCGCCGTGACGCCCCGCCGAGCCCGCTCTTCCTCCCGCGCTCGGCCACCCGCGGCATGGGATCGCCCGTTTTCCTGCCTGCCGCGGCTCCTGCCCCCGCCCCCGGCCTGTACGCACCCAAGTCGACCCACATTCTGCCCATCGGCGGTCGCCCCGTGCCCCCGCAGAACGTCGCTAACGGCACAGCCAATCCGGCCCCACCCGGCAGCACGCGCAGCAAGTCCTTCTTCCTCGCGTCCGCGTCCTCGCACTCGTCCTCGCGCAGCTCCAACTCCAACTCATGCGAGGGCGAGGAGCGCTCGCACTCGAGCGGCAGCAGCGAGAGCTCGCGCGAGCGGGAGAAGCGCGAGGAGCGCGAGGAGCGCGAGGAGCGCGAGAAGCGCGAGGAGCAGCGCGCGCGGGAAAGGGAGCGCGAGGAGCAGCGGGTGCGCGACCTCAGCGCGCGGGGCCGGGTCCCTGCGCGCGGGCGTTCCGGGAGTGGCGGCGCCCGTGGGAGCGTGGAGGACGTTGAGCCGAAACAGGTACCGATGCAGATGCCGACGCAAACGCAGCCGCCGCCACCCCCTGCACCAACGCAGCAAAAACCGGACGTGGCGCCGACGCCTGCGCCGGAGCCCAAGCCCAAACCCGCGCGTGCGGCGTCTGCGCCGTTCCTCGGCGGGCTGAAGGAGGTATGTACCGTTGGTGTGGCGTTGCTTCCGTGCTGATTGATTTTTTTCTTACGTAGCAGCAGCAGCAGCAGAGGCAGCAGCCCGCGGACGCGGACGACGCGCGGTCGGTGTCGTCGATGGCGACGTCGTCGTCGAATACGCGCGCAAGGAGAAGGCAGGCAGCGCTGAGGAGCCAGCACTCGCGCTCGCGCTCGCGCAAGGGGGGGACCGGGGCGCGTGGCGCGCCGAATGCGCTCGGGCTGCCATCGAACCTCGCGGCGGCGGCGGCGCTCGTGGAGCGCACGATGAGCACGCGGAATTTGCGGAAGATGGTCGTGCTCGCGACGAGCGACGAGGAGGACGGGGAGTGGAGCGATGACGAGGATGAGAGTATGGAGGGCGAGGTGGAGGAGAGTGTTGAGGGCGAGGTGGAGGAGGGCGAAGAAGCAGAAGAGGGGGAGGAGGGGTGGGAGGACGAGGACGGGAGCGGGAGCGAGGCCGGGGCGAAGGCCCCCGTGCACACGAACGCCAAGGCACCGCCGCCATCGCTGGAGCAGCCCGCGCCGCACCTCGGGCATGCGCGCGGGCACAGCACGTCGGGGACGGGGGCGGCGGCGGACGGCCCGGCCGCGCTGCGCCAGCTGCCGACGCGTCCGCTGCACCGCTCCACGTCGCACCTCCCCTCGCTCGGCGGCAGCGGCGCGCCTGCAAAGCACCACCACACCGCGTCCGCGCAGAACGCGCGCACCGCGCGCGCGCTCAAGGCGACCATGAGCGCGACGACCCTCTCGAGCGCGATGCTCGAGGCGCAGCGCCAGCGCGACCTCTTCGCCAAGGCGCCGCGCGTCAGCTACGAGAACCTCACCGCCCTCGCCGGCGCGCGCCCCGGCGGCCTCAGCATGCTGCTCCGCCCGCAGCAGCAGGCCGCCGTGGAGCTGCAGCAGCAGCAGCACTACCAGCAGCAGCAGGGGCAGATCGGCCTCCCGCCGCCGCGCGCGCGCCCCGCGGGCGGGTTTGGCGGGCTCGGGCTCACGATGAGCTCGACGCGCCCGCCGGTCGCGGGGGCCGGTGGTGCGGAGCTGTCTCCGATTCCGCCGACGCCGGCGACGGCGTTGCAGGCGCCACAGCCTGCGAGGCGCGAGCAGCAGCCGCAACCATCCGCGGCAGCGCAGCAGCAGCAACAGCAGCAGCAACAACAACATCAGCAACAACGGCAATCGCAACCTGGGCCACCGCCTCGGCGTCCGAACCTGCCGCGGGCGATGTCGAGCAGTGCGTTGCCCCCGCATCTCAGCGGCGCGGGGACGAGTGGGTCGTTGGGGAAGAGCGCCGTCGCGGGGCCGGTCGTCACGGGAGCCGGGTCGGGCGGGAGCACGCAGAATGGGAGCGCGGGGCGCGGTGGGTACCGGCCCAAGGGCCCGCCTGCGGAGATGGAGTACGACGAGGACGACGACGAGTCGGATGCGGACGGGCGCGGTAAGGGCAAGGGGCGCGCGCGCGACGAGGGACTGCACCTGTCCAAGAGCGTCGCACAGGAGAAGCTGCGCGTCCTCGCGGAGCGCAGCGCGCTCCTCTCGCGCGCGAAGAACGGCAGCGGCGCCGCCGCGGGGAGCGGGGGGTCGGCCGAGGCGGAGCGCCGCCGGCTGTACGACGAGGCGGGCGTCGTCCCCTGGGCGGCGGGCGCGCACAACCACAACGTCAACGAGGACTACGTCGCGCAGCCGCCGCCTAACCGCTCCATGTCCACCGCGCCCGTCGGCTTCCCGTACAACCTCCCCGCGCCCGCGCCGCCGTCGACGCCGCGCACGACGCGCCAGCACATGCTCCGCAACGAGATGTCCGAGAGCCTGCGGCACAACCTGCTGTGGCAGCGCAAGCTGAGCCGCACGGAGTTTATTGGCCCGCAGCCGCGCCGGACCAAGAGCACCGTGCATGTCCCGAGCATGGAGGGCGAGGGGCGCCAGGCGGAGAAGAGCCTTGTGCGCGTGACGCTGCGCGCGCCCGGCGCCGAGCGGCGCGAGGGCGCGCTGCCGCCGATGGACCACCCTGCGCTCGACGGCGCCGCACCGAAGAAGAAGCTCGTGCGGAATCTGAGCTGGGCAGACACGTCGGACTACCATCGGACTGGCTGGTAGTGCTTTTGCTTTTTTCTTTCTTTCATCTCCCTCTAATGCATGCATGCTGCCTACTGTACGAAATCCAACCTACTCATCGTTGTCGTTTGTTGTCGCTCTGGTTCCACTTTGTACTATTACCATCGTCTCTTTCTGGCTTTTTTAGCGTACAAATATAATTGGTAACTTCGTCGGCGATTCTGCGGGTGATGCGATCACGACTCAACGCCCGCTGCCATATATGGCGCAAAGAACGGAGACCAGGCTAGGAGAACATTCAGAATCTTCGGGGGGTTGATGTGTCTGCAATCCGGCCTTCCTGAGCCATGCCATGCTGAGGAGGAGCTTCAGAACTCAAGTCTACCAAGGTGATAAGTGCAAAATCTCAGCCTCGGCCAAGGGTTGGATGGCCGAGTGGTCTAAGGCGCCAGATTCAGGACCCGTCCTCTCAGGATTTTACTTGCTCCTCTTGCGAGCTTTCTGGTCTATAACTAGGCGTGGGTTCGAATCCCACTCCAATCATGTTTTTCGCACGCATTTCTACTTCACCGCTTTTGCCCATACGATATGCAGATTTTTTATACATCCTACATTTACATTAGGGGCAGTCAGAGTAGCAGATTATGGAGGCATTATGGTGCTGGATTATGGAAGGATTATGGGAATTATTTAAGCGTGGGATAATCCATCAAAACCATAATCCGCCATAATCGCATAATCTCCTCTGGAGGAGATTATGCAGGGATTGAGATTATGGCCAGGATTATGGTTGGATTATGGCCTTGAGCATAATCTTGGATTAATCACAGTTAGCATAATCCTCTCACCATAATCCGGGGTGGTCAGAATAGAATGTGATTATGCCGCAATTATGGAAGATTATAGACCTTTTTAAATCCCATAATCAGTAAGAAGCTGTACTAAGTCAGATCTGTGCCTCACACGACGTGGATGTACGCGAGTCTATTCACCTGTACTAAGTCAGATCTGTGCTACGGTGAATGTGAGTAAAGTAGGTGATGTGAGCTAGCTAGAATGACTTACCCTCACATGACGTGGATGTACGCGAGTGAGGGCAGTCGATGCGACATCACGGTGTTATCAACACACGTGATGTGACACTGTAATGGTATAGTAATGGGTGTATAGTAAAGTGACCGAGTGCAAACCATCGTCCAACTCACCCCTGCAGGTGGGCACTGCCTATACACCCCCCACGCCCGAAACACCCCCTAAGCGAGACCCAGAGAGGCGCGGTGGTGAAGGAACGTGGGAGCGGGGAGAGACTTCGTGAAAACATCGGCAACATTGTCATCTGTCGGAACGCAAGGGAGGGATACCTTCCCCTTCTCAACGCAGTCGCGTATATGGTGGTGGCGGTTATTGATGTGCTTGGCGCGAATATGGAGGGACTGGTCGCCGGATAGAGTAATGGTGGAGTTATTGTCGCAGAAAAGTTTGGTGGGTGAGTCGACTGGAACGGTCATGCCGCAGAGGAGCATGCGAAGCCAGCAGGCCTCTTTCGCGCCCTCGGACGCACCGATATACTCAGCCTCCGTTGATGAGCAAGCAACCACTTTTTGTTTCCGCGACGACCAAGAAATCGACCCTGAGCCCAAAGAGAAAGTGTATCCCATGACTGATTTGCGGGTGTCCGGGTCATTCGCGAACACAGCGTCGGTGTAGCCGATGAGGGAGATGGGAGCCGTGCCACCAAGTACTAATGCCATGGTCCGAGTTCCCTTCAGATACTGCAGGACACAGATTGCCTGCCTGCCAGTGCACAACGGCGTAGCAATCGAGGAAGCCCGCGAGGTAATTGACGGCAAAAGCTATGTCAGGGTGTGTCCCGATAGCGACATACATCAGGGATCTGTTATATCCTGAGCCGAAGAAGGATCAACAGGCCCCGATGAGGTCCAAAACCGGAAGGTTCTGAAAACCCGGGCAGGACCGGAAGTCCCGGGGTTGGCTTGTTCTCGCAAGCACCACATTCAGCAGGGTGTGCGACTGTCTGGCTGTCAAGCTGGGATGAGACGGAAGTGCGATGCGACACGGAAGGCTACAGTAGTGCAGAGGGCAGTTGTCATTGCCCAGTATATTTGTGTACGACTGGCCAGTGTCAAACACCATTAGTCATACCATCACATGAACCTATTCTCCGCGGCCACTTGCACCGTTCAAGTTGAAGTTGCAGATTCTTGAAATTTAACAACTTACAATCCAAAATGAGTTCCCACTACATCCCTCAAGCGTCATATTATTGTCCAGCACCCACGCAAAAATGTTCAGGTGACGAGCACATGGAGGAGTCGTCCAAGCACTCCAGACTTGAGAATCCTTCCCAGGCAACTTTGTCCCATGGTGATTACAACGGCTCCATCGCGCCAACGCTGTGTTGGATCGTCTGGTCAGGCAATTCCAGAAGCTTTAGTTGCAAGAAGAAGGAAGCCCAGGCAGTCAATCTGCTAGGTATTGTGGCTCTTGTACAGCATATTGAATTTATATTGATACCTGTCCGTCTCCGTCCAGGGCCAAAGAGCTCTGCAACACAGAAGACCCATACAGTGGAGGTACAACCCCGCACATGTCAAGCCGGGAATTACAGCGGGACGCAGCCCTGCTTTGTCTGCCAAGGGGGAACCAAGTGGTGCGGTCCAAGCAACAACTGTCAGTGGAGAGGTGTGCAGTTGCTACAGAAGCACAGTGCCAAATACGAGGCTGTCAGGATCAAGTTCCCAGAGGAGCCAACCACCCTCCATTTCCCAGTTGCATGGAACCGGCAAATAGACTTGAATGACCTTGCCCATACCAAGGTACGGATTCACATCAATATCCCTCACACTCACCTTTTGGAGCTTGATTCAATTGTAGGCAACGTCAGCAGAGGTGTTGCTACCTGTCATGCAGGAAGAACTGTCTCACTTGACAGAACACCCCGTCTACAGACCTTCCCAGCCTGGAACACAGATGTTCTGCGGTAAGCTCATCTGCTCCGCCCTCGAAGTCCTCATTCACATTTGAAAGATCTTTGCTCAACAACTATCTTCTCACACTCCTGGGTGTGCTTGCAATGTGCGCGCGACGTTTGCCCTTCCTGTTTCCATCTGATCTCAGTTAGCGAGACTCTTGAAAGACTCTGGGAAGAGGTTTACTGCTGTGGTGATACCCAACTATCCTTCATCCGCTGTGTTGTGGGGTTTCAGCACAGCGTGGCTAATTTTCAAGCATTGACTTCTTCAACGAAGCAGAGTTATCAGAAACCATTGAGCAGATGGTACAGGTGCTAGGAACAGCAGACTCAATCTGTGTTACTCGAGAAAAAGGTGTAAGTAAGACACTCCTTCCTTGCTCTCACCATTATTAACATGTCAGTAGATCCCCTGCCCCCCCCAAAAAATCTGATGGTATACCATCATACAACATCAGGTGATTCCTGGTTATGGAGCTCACGGAGAACATCTTTCAGGCCGAAGTGGTCCAAAGAGGATCCGATCCTGATCACAGGTTTGGAGGATGTTAAATGCTGAGTCGTGTGGGCGCTCGGGACTCCTGAAGGGAGGAAGGACGGAGGTCTGAGGGGGCTACAACTGGTCGTCTCGCAGGCACTACAGAGAGTGTGCGACTACCCGGCTTGCAGACCGCAACACGAGGGAGATGAAGTGAAGCGAAGGGCCAGATGAATGAGAGAGTTGACTTGAAGGGAAGACCCAGGTAGTGCTCAAGGAAAGAGTACTATAACAATTGATTTCCAAACTGAAGTACAAGATGGAAACTGGGCTGTATATATACTACTACGACTGTAAGCAGTATTGGTCATAAGAATCGTGGTTTGTAACAGAGGTAGCAACTGTAACCAAGTTCGTCATGCAATAGACAGCGAACCATGTGGTTGAGTCAGTGAACCATGTGGAAGAGGAATCAAACCATAGGATCATGAAGTGGGGTCAGATAGGATTTTGAGATGGGGTCAAATAGGATCATGAGGTGGGTCAGAACCATGTGGAAGATGAGTGAGACAATAGGATCACAAAGTGGGGTCTGATGATGGAATCCCCAGATGGAGGGAGTCCAGACTCTGGTTCTGGGTTGTGTCCGGAATGGATATAACAGAGGAGAAACTCAAGCTTCGCTGGGACCCCCAGTATTTTGCCACAAAGCACAGTGAGGCCGAATGTGAAGTTCTCAACTGTGAAACCAAGTGTTATATCCGTACGTTCTGAACTCCCGACGAGCTCCGTCATTTCCGGGATGTTCTGTACCTTTGGGAAGTTCCGGCCTCCGGATCTACGGACGCCGCCCAAAATGGGTTTTCACGCAATGAAGGATTACTGAGCATTTCCCATTTTAACTTCCTTATTTTATCGCACTCAACTCGAGCGGACTTCACCGCTCCACAAACCTCACTTGCGGCTTCTTCCGTTTCAGATCACTATATATAGAAATGGACTTTACGGCCGTACGTAATTATGACTTAGTATAAATATTCCATATGCCTCCATGTAACCTCAGTTTGATTATTAACGTTCTTGACTATTCGTCTTGTCCTGAACCCTGCCTTAATCTTCCGTCCTCTGGAGTTCCGACTTTTCCTCGGAACGACTTCTACTCTCGCCAGTCCAGGTAGTACGCACACCCTTACCTTCCTGTGGTGTTTGCGATTGATCCGAAACTTCCACTCCACCATCACTCCGGCACCAGAACCTTCCGTCAACGGATCATTCCTTCGACTCTCGACTTCGGGATTTAACAGTATAATCAAACTCACCTATCTTGGCTGGAAATGTCTTCATCCAACTCCGCGTATGTGCCGGCGGCCTGTGATTCGTGAACGCGCGTTACGCGATCGTTGGGATTCTCGCCTATTCGGTCAAATCGTCCCGATGTCCCCTCCGGTTCAGACCATGGGTGACATCCCAACCTCTTTTTCCGGTCCAATTCCTCGTCCTGCTCCTGCAGCCATTCGCACTCGTCAACTGGTGCCTTCAGCAGCAGCCACCACTCTGATCACAGTCCCGGGTTTGGTCGAAAACCCGCGGACTCCGGAAAACCCTATGGTCTACCCCCGATCTCCTCATCCTCGTTCGCGCTCAATTGTTTTTGAGACAGACCCAATTCCGTATCGGTCGGGCGCTCCGGAAGATTCTGAAGAGCCCGATGAACCCGAAACCAGTGGCGGCCTAGGCCCCATTATTCCGGTTCAAGGATCCGACGCTGGCGATGAGCCAGGAGAAGATCCTGCTGAAACCTCCCGATTCTGATCCTCCGGATGGAGGATCAGGAGGGGGCAGAAGTGGTGGAGGAGGTCCCTCAGGTGGTGGTGGTGGTCCTCCACGTGGTCCGCCAGGAGGCGGCTCCGGTGGCGGAGGCAGCAGAGGAGGAGGTGGAGGCGGTGGAGGTGGCGGAGGTTTCCCCTCCGGTCTGCCAACTGGCGGATTCAACCCTCGGTCGCCCCGCCCGGAGACCAGCGACGAGCTTCTCATGAGCACCGTTCATTTGTTCCGCGATGCTCTTACCCAATT